CTGTCCCACGTGAACAGTGAAAGGCCTCTAGGAACTGAATTCTGCCTGCCATCTGTCCTTGACCCAAATCACCTGCACGTAATTTATGACTCCTTGCCCCAACTCACGAAAGAACCAGGACCAGAGTCCCACTGGTGTCCAGGGGAGGGGAAACTGTGCCGGGATTGTGTGAGCGCCTACCCACCGGGCCTGCTCATCGAATGTCTCCACAGGCATGGTGCGAGGCTGCCCACGGAGCTGTTTACACAACTGCAAGCATTCCGTCTCCGCTCCAGTGGAGCAAACCCGTGAAAGGCTCTGTGTTTCAGTCATCCAGCAGAAACAACATGGAGTGGACATCTGTCTCCGAGCGTGAATCACCGGCAGCGTTAAGAAAACAACCTTTTCAAAGCAGTTCAATTAAGCAGCTTTCCAAGGTTTCTATCTAGTGTGTGCTCTGGGGTCTGTGGCTTTCTGTGACTATTTTAGAGGAAGGCAACAGGCAGGTTATGGCTGTGGGTCCACAACAAAGTGAGAAAAACATTATAGACCAGTTACAACAAAACAAAATTTTTTTCTCATTACATACTTGATTGAGGAAGATCTTCTATATTGTTCCCAGAGTTCTTGATAACGTCGGTGTCCACAGTTTCCAAATCTTTTAAGCTGTATTTCCTAAAGAGGTGTAACATTAAATCTGTCATAGATATCTTTTCTAAAACAAACAGTACAAATAGTTAAAGTGAAGGCATTGGATTTCTCCAGTTCTACTCCTGACTTTAGTTTCCATACTGTTTTTATTAGTTAGATCTTTATAATTTTCATTGTTTAGCATTTTCTTTATTATGAATATTAGTAATGACTGGGTTGGGAATGACTGTATGACTTAAGTTCAAGGTTATCTATGTAGGAAAATATACCCTTTAAAAGAGAAAACAAATACAATATCGAACAAACTATATCTGCTGCACAACTTCGAAAATGGAAATGAGTTAAAATCTACTTTCTGTGTCTCAGGTACTGTGCTTTATGTACATTATAACATTTAAAATTCAATACAGTATGACATGAGTATAAAATATTAATATCGACAGCATACCTCTTCATTTCCACGTGTGAATGTGAAAGAGTGAGGGCACAGAAGTCAAAAAGCAATAATTTGCCAAGGCTTACAGCAGCACTGAGCTGGGACTGGAGAATTGAACCTGCTGTTTCAGAATTCAGTGTTCACTCTCCTAACCTTAATTCCATAGTGCCAATTCTACAAAATTTTGGTTCTGCTTTCTAATTTACAGAATAAGTGTGATTAAACTGTAGAATGAAAAGATGCAGACAAAGCATCAGAGCAGGGTGCTGTGGACGATAAGGAAATATTACAAGGCACCGATAAATGTGAATTGATGCTTTCTCATGATAAGAAGGGGGCTCTTTCCTAGGTAAGAACGTTCCCATACCCCTATTTAACAGGATTTGTCTGGGGCTAGGGACATAGCTCCAAGCACCCTCCTAGCTTCCCTTCACTCCATCCCCAGAACAAAGTCAGTAAGTCAATAAATAAAACAAGATTTATGTGGTTTAAAAGCACACAAACTAATAGCCACATAAGCAGCCTCTGCTGCCGTCCTATTTTGGAGAAGCAGCAGCATCCCAGTCAAGACTGGTTGGTACCAGACTTCTTCGTTTCAAAATCCACCTCTTTGCCCTACTAGTTTTGTCATCTTGAATTAGTTCACTAACTGCTTCACCGTCAGTTTCTACATTGGTACAATGAGGGCCGTAATTCTAGACCACCTCTTGGCTGTTGTGAGAATCAAGTGGCTCATCTCCCGGAAATCGTCCTGGACAGTTCCTTGTGCGCGTGTACTCAGCGCTGAGCCTACCTGCACTGTCCCAAGCTCCTGGTGGTTTTCTCTATGCAGAGAGCGACTCACTGATCCCAATAGGACTGCGCGGCTACTGGTGACAGGGAGCTGTGGTCCTTCGAGGCCGGAGGGCGGATTGATGGCTGGAACGCTGGTTTCAGCAGCAGAGGCAGTGGTCATCTCTCTTAGTTGCTGCGTAACACAGAGCCAGGGCTGACAGTGCTGTGAGTTCACCGCCTGGACTGCAGGGAGTTCTCCGTGCTTGTTTGAAGGTCACATTCACAGTTCTCACAGATGCAGACCTGGCAACAGTTATAACAAAGGTGCCATCTCCTGTCCTCAGAGAGGTCCTTATTCTAAGGCCACCTGGACTGAGCTGACCACGCCTGGGGTGCCGATGCGGGACTTGAGATGAAACTGATTCACAGGGACCGGCGAGGACCCAGCTCCGTGTCCCCTCTGACCCACGAACACGTGTACGCAATGCCTGGTTGGTAAAGTAGTTTCATTTCCAGGCATTTTGAAGAGGATCGCTGTGTGAGCACCAAAGCCTGAAGGAGAAAGCGCGGTTGGAACCCAGAGGCCCAGACGCCTGGTGTGGGGAGAGGAACACACAGCCCTGAGTCCCTGCACCCTAAGCACGCCTGCCACAGAACCCAGCGTTTCCACAGACTGGCAAACACGTCAGGGATCATCCCGGACACCCCAAAACCGCTGTGTTGGGGTCCAGGTATTTTGTTCTCTAGGCTCCTGGTTCCACCAGAATTTTCTCCCCTTATCTGGGGAAGCGGTTAAACCACACAACTCTGAAACACATTAACTGTTTACAAGCGTGCAAGGTGATCTGTAACAGCCCCACCACCTTGAGAAAAGTTGGAGGAGATGTGCATGTGTTACCTGAAGCTTTGCACCTAGAAACTGCCTCGAACCTTCGTATTCCTCCTTACATGTACACGGCGTCAAGTGCTTTCCGTGATAATCACATCCGACGGCTGTTTCAACGGCTTAATCTTCAAAGCGTGCCTTTTGTTGTCCTATGATTCCTCGAGCAGCCTCCTGTCAAGGGTATGACATTAGGAAACCTTAACATAACAGGAATTGTTGCCGCACTGCCAGCTGCCGCTGGGCGGGTGGGAGGCCCAGACACGGCTCCCCGGCTGCACTCGGCGCGTCTCTGGACAGTTGCCACCCGTATTAGTGTAAGCCTTCACCTGGCCATGGATAAGATCCCCCAGAGCACTGGGGGCGCAGTGCTGACTCCCCCGGAATGCAGTGCGAAGACTGAGCACGAGCGGAGTCCCCCGGGGCTGCTGCAGGCATCGCTGACTCCTCCCGCCCGGGCCGTGGTTGCGCCCTGCGACTGGAGTTACACACAGAGGCAGCTGCTCTTCGCGGGGAGGGTCCGCCGCAGATCCGCACTGACAGTGGGCGGCAGGCGCGTGGACGGTGACACCTGCCGCCTTGCAGCCCAGCTCCTCACAGCCTTCTAACTCTGTTTCACACATGAAGCGAATCTGTTGTCATTTAAAGAGACAAATGAGAATTCGAGAAAATTGATTCTCTTTGAAACACAGCTGGAGAGGCACCCTGATTCCTTACAGAGAAAATTCCAACACGAACAGAAATGGAAAGTAAATGCGGCAGCAGGTGATACTGAAAATTCTAACCTTCTGCGAAATAAAAGGTAATTTTGAACAAGTAGGTAGAAGGGAGCCAAAGAAAATCACATATATTTAATGTCTACCTATGCACATTGGTACAGAGGGTTGAACCAAGGCCCTCACACTGAGACACATCACTGCTTTTTAAAATTTGGTAAGTTGATAAATTCGCCAGGCTGGGCTCAAACCTGCAACTCTCCTGCCTCAGCCTCCCAGGGTGCTGGGATTATAGGTGCTAAACCCTGCCAAATTGACAACTGTAGCTTTTTAGTTGTATTTTTAAGAATTGCTGATACGGGACAGTCACTTGGCAGTTACGTCGTCATTTTCCCTGCCCTTTGCAACTCACTGCAAAGTAACAGAAGTCTCAATTCCCGACCAGGACCTGTGCTCTCTCTCGGACGTGGTCCTAGGGTAGCAGCACCGCGGGGCAGGCAGTGTCTACCAAAGCCTCAGACTCAGGCCAAACCTGCAGGTCTCGCCCAGTCAAGGTTAGAGCCTCTGTGCAGAAGCTGCCTTCAGACAATTGCACTCAGCAAGACCGGGCCCAGCCCTTGGGAGCAAATTAAAAAGAGAATTTAAGTCTCTTATCAGGACAATTATTTGCTAAACAGTTTTAGGTCACTCTCATTTGATTCACGATGATTTTTATAGTTTTGTTTTTATTTTGCTTTACTTTTTAAATTCAAAATTCATGTTTCACCAGCCATAAAAAATCAGATTGTTTGGCAATATATTTCATAATAAGACAAATTACTGTATCTTCCAGTGCGGTGCCTCTACACAAACCCATCTAAACGTATTTAACACTCGTGGGTGCTTTGCAAAGCTGAGTACTTTATAAGAATTTCTGAATGTTTTATACTTAACAAGACAATCGAATCATTATGTCATCATCGTTACATTTGCACATGGATTTTAGAGATTTTTACATTCATACTTTAAGCTTTGAATGAAGAAAGCTAACATTCCTATTTTGAAAACAGGAGGATTTGGTAAGTCGCCTTTATGATTCCGTTTACCTCAGTTTCCACATCAGTGCAGTATAAAGGCATTAATTTCAGCCAGGTATTTAGAGGATGTGCGCGATCTACAGAAATACAGAGCTTCTTTGTAGTGACCTGCTCACCCTCCGTAAACGAAGAACCCACAGGATACAGAGACGGGAGAGCAGGACCTCTGGGAACCGACTTGCAGCCTGGCCTCGGCCCACTTTGATCCTCTTCTCTTCCGCACAGCTCCGCCCGTCCCCTCGGGGCCCTCTAGCTGCTGCCATTTCCTGCTGTGGCCCGAGGTCCACGGAGGGAGAGCTTTGGGGCAGCAGGACGTGGCACCAGGAGCCCAGTGAGCCCCCACCCGCCCTACTTCGTCCCCCACCAGCTCCTGCATCGCCCGGCCGAGCTCACACGACTTGTTTCCCGCCAGGTCCACAGCACCGGGCTCACCAAGGCAAACAGCACCAACCTGAGACTTTTTGTTCTCTGTTTTCTCCTTGCAGGGCTTATGAGAAAGAAAACAAAGGGGGCCGGAGAAGACAGGAGGGCAGACAGACAGTTTGCTTTTGCAAGACGAATTAATTCATTTGTGTTTGCTTCGATCATCAAAGCCCTAGAAGAGTAAGCGGAGCTGTCCGGATTCCGCCCGTGGGAGGGGTGCAGGCGTTTGGCCCATGGGCTTGAGATGCAGGGATTCAAGAAGAACACAGCTAACATCCGTGCGAAGTTAAATGGCTATCGCAAGATACACTGTATCTTCTGCACGTTTCTTGGCAGAGTTTGACATCTCTGACTCTCCTTGAACCGCTAAGCTGCAAGGCAGCCTCATTCACACCTGATTTAATTATGGGTTCTGAGGACTTTTAGAAACACTTTCTATAAGACATGGCAGAACATGGCACGAAATAGATTTTAATTAATGTATTTCACATGCTCTATCTTCTAAATTAGGGATATCTTCATCTTGTTTGTATGAAGGACTCACGAAACTCCAGATGCTTTACTGTGTCAATATTTAGTGACGTGATATTGGCAATCATAGAACATTCATTTCTCCTTTGGTAGAACTTGAGGGAGGAGGCATTTCCAGCATAGAGGACAGAAAGGCAGAAATCCTGATACTTTTCCTTTTTTCATGTGCAGGTTCAGGACAGACAGTGTGGAAGGTGGGAAGCCCCCAAACGCATTCCGGGCCTCGAAGCTGGGCCCTTGAAGAGGGAGGCCTGCATTCTGAGAGTGAGGACGCTGTTCCTCCATGTGTGTGACCCACGACTGTGTGCATCTGTGCGTGGGACTGGGGTTTTCACGGTCCTCTTCCCAGCTGCCTGTTCTTCATCTCACTTTCACATAGCCAAGTCGGAAGCGTGTGGAAGGTAACAATGCCCGGAACGACCTCAGCGTGGGGACAGTGCTCCTGGCTGGGCACTGTGGTCCACAGAATTACTCAGAACACAACTGTCACGTTTACTGCACAGGATGTGATGGTTAGCGACCCCGGGAACTCCAGGGGTGAGGAGCACGGTTAGGATTAAAAGGCAAAAGTCAGGCAATCTGTCTAATCGGTTTGCGAATCTGCTTCTCTTCCTTTCCCCCGTTCCGGTTCTGAAGTTTTCTGAAATCCAAGCACAAAATAAAGTCTCCCCACCTCTCTCTCCTTGGTGTATTATTCCTCATTATCTTATTTTTTCTTTGGTTCACTTTACTAAGAAGTACATATATACTAATACAAATATTCATCGTAAGTACTGTGTTTTAGTGCCTGTCAAAGATTTTTATGTAGGGAAAAGGTCCCTCCGAGCTTTCCGCTCCACTGTTTGGGGTTTTAACCTCTCTGGGCTCTTCTCTCACAGGTTATTTCTACGTGGTGTCTTCACTAAGACACTCAAAGTTCATTTGCCCCCTCTTTTTCAAAGAAATCAAATATCCTACCAAGTTAGGATGCCCTGCAGCTGAAGTCCTTTGTTATCTTGCGCAGTGAACACTGATGTATTATATTTTCTTTTTTCTTATCAGATGTATTTACTGATAGAATTTCAAGCATCAAAAAACCGAAGTTCTCAGCCATTTCTGCAGCATGGAGGCGGCCCTGGGTCAGGGGCAGAGCTCTGAGGGCGTGCATGCTTCTGGGGACCTAGCATCCCTGCCAGGCACTGAGCTGGGCCAGTCCTGCCCAGGCCATGGAGGACCTGGACTGTGATGCCCGTGGGCAGCTTGGGGTCTTGTCCACTTTGCTCACTTCAAGTCTGAACACCCCAGATACAATCAGTGTGGAAATCACAGCCATTTATGGATTCTAATTTTGTAACTCATGCACGCATCTATCTTCCCAGTTTTGTTTTAGGGATCTGTAAGTGCAATGCCCTTGCTTATCCCTACTTCATGGCAGTCAAATTAAATTGGGAAGATGAAATAAAGCCAGATGCACAAGTTTCAGAATTACTAAAGCTGCCACTGTATTCTCATAGCACAGCGATGATCCGCTACCCTTCCAAGTGCATAGGACTGGGTTAAATTAAAATGAAGTTCTTGGGAGGGGGTCTAGTTCCATTGGATCAGTGCTCATATTAGAAGGAGGATGGGACTGGGGAAGAGGGTGGGAAGGGACGGGGATCACCTGTGCGCTCCATGGAGGGCCCTGGCACAAGTCCTTGCCCTGGGCTGGGCGTGACCTGCTCCACCCAACACAGACCAGATTGTGCCACTGTGAGCACTGCATTTCCCTTATTAATCCACCCAGCAGAGGGTATGGCGCTTATAACAGCACCAGCAAACTCACCCTGTATGAAGTTACCAATTTCTTATTGGGAAAATGAAGCACATAATTTAAAAAGAGCTTGAATTATCTGAATATTGGCAATGTTGTGGAATGAATTCATTTGCATAGTTTTAATAAATAATCTAGTTTCAAGAATTCATCAGCTAAAGTACTGAAAATATTGGTTTTCAAGGATTGTTTCATAAACCCATGTGTTTGAATAATTTGAAAGATGTCTTGGTAAAATCTGTAACATTTATAAAATTTCCACATCATTCAATTAAGATGAGCTACGTTTTCATATGGTACTCTAGTTTTATTCATGGCAAATTTACATAAAACGTCTTATTATTAAAAGAAACGTAGTGGTAGAGCAGTAAAATGATTAACAGAGCTTGATTTATCTAGGGGTTTGAGCATAGTTTACCATGGTTGTGTTACTTCATACAACAGCAAGGACTTTTATAACACAGTCCCATCACATTTCTTAATAATTCAACTTTGTTTTAAAAAGGAAATTTGACTAGACTTTTTTAAAAGGAGCATTTTCAATAAAAGATATTTTCTATCCATAAAGTAAAGAACTCCAACATTGCATCCATAATTTCAATTTTACATATCGACACAGAAGATAACCAAATTCATTGTTATCATTTTAGAAATATGTAGCTTCCTTTACCCTTGAACGTCCTTTTCAAATAAATATCACGTCATTGTGGACAATAATGATTTTCTAGAGAATTGCGGGCCCCATTGTGAGCCACTGTAGGTGTCAGGTGGGTTGGTAGATGGCCTTAACTGATTGCGGGAGTGGCTCACAGCTTTTGGGGTCTCTAACTCTGACAAACCTCTCAACATTGAGGCAAGAGCTCCAGAGGTTTAGCCAGGCAGTTCATGACCCAGTGCACAATTTAAACCTGTCCCTTGGCACTCTCCGGAGAGGGATACCAGGAGTCCCAGGGGTGGGAAGTCCTGAGGGAGGAGCCCCGCAGGAACAGGCCTGGTGATGGCTTACCACCCGCTCACCCTGCTGCAGATGTGGGCTTTTCTAGGGTGCTGCACGCAAGGCGAGTGCTATGCAAGTATTTGTTGCATTATTTAGGGAAAGATGACAAGGAAAAAGGGCCTCTATGTGCTCATTATAGATGCAATGCTGAAAAGGTATTTTCAGCCTGCACTTGGCTGAATCTGAGAGCCTTTAGGAACAGTGCGCTGGTCCTAGTGTGAGGAAAGCGACTTCCAGCCCCAAATGAAAGTTGCGGTTTAGGGAGACCACCTTATTTTACTGTTGCCGCTGTTATTTGGAAGTAGTTACGATTGTTTTTTCCTAACAGGCTCATTTAAGCTTCACAAGAAAAAAGGTCACTGAGATGATCTCAAGTGCAACTAAGAATTAGCAAGAAGGGATGCAGGGAATGTAGGACAGATCTCCTCAGAAGCCAGTGGGCCTTTTCAGACTCGCAGCACCAAAAAATCTTTGTAGATTTAGAAGCCATGAACACAGGCAGGGAGCAGGGTCTGTGCAGTTGCAGGTACACAAGATCCTAATACAGAGCTTCAGGGGCCTCTGTGGTTTCTAGGGTTAAACAAAGCAGAGAGAATGGAAAAGGAAGAAAGAAAAAGATAGAGCTAGTAAGGGATTATTAACAGACTGTAGAAAAATGAGTAGAATAATCGGAATTCTGTTTACAAAATAACTTGGCCCTGTAAATGGAATTAAGGAGGATGAATCAGGGGACACAGTTCCGGGACATGAATCCCCACATGTCCGGGTGGGAATCCAAACAGTATGGTACAGGCTGACGCAGCAGCACATGGGCTATTATGATACCTTTATTTTGTAAAGCTTCTTAGCAGAACAATATCAGCTACAAATTGCGATTCTTGATATTTTATGATATTAAGCTGGGTTGACTACGTATATTAGATTTTAGTGGTGAATTATGGGTTCCCTAAAAGTAAAGCGTAAAATGTCATAGAGAAAATATAGCATCAAATGAGATCAAGGTGAACACACAGAAATACTTTAGATAGTCTCACTGAAGCATAACTGATGGATAGAAACATCACTTCCGGTAACTGTCCTACTCAGTGAGTTTTAGTAAATCAGTAGAAGGGAAGCTGCGCCACAATCCCGATCTAGAGCATTCACCCCAGACATTCTTCCATGCCACCACACGTCCAGCGCTTCCCCCCTCACTCTGCCTCAGCCTTCAGCAACCATTGCTCTGTTTCCTGTCTCTATTGTTTGTTTTCCTTTAAATTTTACTTGAATGGAAGGCTGCGCAGGGCTATGCGGTCACCTTGATTTTGAGGTAACCCACCAGCAGCTCCTTCTTCCGTGGTCATCATCTTTCTGGATGAATAAGCTCTATTCTGCCTTTCCATCGAGCCATTGCTGGGAATGTGGATCTTTCCATACTCGGTCTACTGTGGGCAAACACTTACACACCTGTCTGTGTGAATACATTTTTATTTTCTTTGGTAAAGGCCTAGAGGCAGAATTTTCTGAATCAATTTATGTGTACATTTTTAAGATACTAACAAAGTTCTTTCAAAAGTGCCTACAATTTTATGTTTTTACAGCAGTGAATGAGGGTTCCAGTATATACACATTCTTAATTCACCTGCTATTGTTGTAGAATGTGTGTGTGTGTGTGTGTTATTGTAGTTTTAATTTTCATTTCCCCAATGAACAATGGTGTTGAGCATCATTCAACTTGCTTATTGGACACTTGGGCCCCATTATGGTTTAGATCTAAAATGTTCCCAAAAGTCTTGTGTGCTCAGAGGTGCGGTTTTCAGAAGGTGTGTAGGTCATGGGTGTGCTGT